AATAGGTACCAGACTACAGGCCAAGGTGAGGATTTTGTATAAGCAGCAAAACTAGGACGACATCGATTACAAAATTATCAGAACACAACGATAAAAAAAAACCAAGGCTACAACAAATATATATCAATTTAAAACCTATTATCAAAACATTAGAAGTATCCAAAACAAAATAGACGAATTTGAACTTTTCATACAGGATCATCACCCGGACATATTATGTTTGTGCGAGACATGGTTTTCCGAGACTACTTCAAAATTTTGTAACATCCAGGGCTACAAATTATCAAGCAGTTATGTCAGAACACAACAACTACACGGCGGAGCTGCTATTTACACAAGGACCACACTCGAAACAAAAAATTTGAAAAATTTGGTGCGGCTATCACAGGAACCTCACTGTGAAATATCTGCATGTGAGATAAAAACTTTAAATTTAATAATTGCATGTTTGTACAGATCACCATCTAAAAACTCTAACCCTAATATTTTCATCAAAACATTCCATGAACTATTGAGTACTGTTAGTAAATCAAAAAAAGTCTTTTTTATATATGGGGATTTTAATCTCGATATATTAGACACTAATAATGGTAAATATGTTAAAGAGTTTTTAGATCTTATTGAATCATTTGGATTAAAACTTGTCATAAATTGTCCAACAAGAATTACTCTTACAAAAAAAAGCTGCTTGGATAACTGTGTAACAAACTTTAAGGGCGCATTGGATATAATTATGATGAATTGTTATTTATCGGATCACGAGGGTTTTCAAGTTTTGTATTCAGTACAAAACAATGAGGTTGGGAAAAATACTGAGATAATTAAATTTAGACCAATAACTGAGAAGAAAATTTCCCAATGTGTTTCAGATTTAAATAAGATTAACTGGTACGATATTTTGAATGAATATGAGGATGTAAATAAAATGTTTGATACCTTTTTAAATATATTGTTAGATATCATCAACAAGAATATGCCAATAAAGACAAAAACGAGACATAAAAAAAACTGGGGGAAAAAATGGTTTACTCAGGAACTTAAACTATTAAGAGATAACATATATGGCATTAGAGGACTTTCGCAAAAATTTATAAAATCATACCTCTCGGGAAGAAAACAAATCGTAGATTATAATGGTGTAAAATCAACATCACTAGAAATTAATTCCGGAATACCACAAGGGTCAATCCTAGGCCCAATCTTATTCATTATATATGTTAATGATCTATTCTCATGCGTCCAAGCAAACGTAATACAAGATGCAGATGATACTACACTATATATCTCAGGTAACGAATGCAATTCCTTAAGTATTTCAAATCTACAAAATAAAAACCTAGCAGAAAATTGGTTTCAAGCGAACAAGCTAGTATTAAATAAAAGTAAAACTCTAACTTTAAATTTTTCACTTAATGACTGCACTAACAATGTAGATTATATAAAATTCTTAGGTGTGTATCTTGATCCTCATCTCTCATTTAAAGTACATATAAAAAAAATCAATACCAAACTTGCAAATATAATCTACTTGTTGAGAAGAATATCAGAAACAGCCCAGACGGATGTCATGAGAATGGCTTATATGAGTTTGTTTCAGAGTCAGGTATTGTACTGCATATTGATATGGGGAAATTCGGTAAACTGGATAAGTGTATTTAAACTACAAAAAATGGCAATAAGAGTAATTGCTAAAATATCGACATTTACATCGTGCAGACAATATTTTAAAGAACTTGGATTATTAACCTTCCCTGCACTGTATATTAGGGAGTGCTTGTTATATATAAAGTCTAACAAGCATAAATTTCAAACACATAAATTATCATTCACATGACACTCGAAACAAAGAAAATCTAATTATACCTCAACATCGTCTACAATTGACACATAATTACTTTATAATACAAGCAGTGAAGATGTATAATATATTACCAGAAAATCTCAAAATAATTCCTCATAGTAAATTCAAATCAAAGATAAACAAAATCTTAATCGAATTATGTCCATACACCTTGCAGGAATATTATGAATACAATTGGAATAATATTAGCTAACCAAAATGCTTGTGATCAGATATAACATATTAAATTGGTTTTAATGTGTTTGTGTTAGTTTTGATAAGATTTTATAGACTGTTAAATTGTATTTTGAAAGTGGTTTTAATTCTTCACTAGGAAATAACAAGTATATTTGTTCATGACTATTTGTATAATTTAGCTAGTAGTAAAAATTTTATTTGACAATGCTTAAGACTTATACTAATGTACCATGGTCTGTTTAGCAAATAAAGCAATATTATTATTATTATTATTATTTCTGTTTACGGGTTCTGAAACTGTTTGATCATGAATTTCATTTACCAGCTACATTAACAATTACTACCCAATGCTCTTAACGCAAAGAGCAAAAAGTCATATGGAAGGTTTTGATACGGAGTGGAGGGGAGGGGGAGTTTCAATTTTCGGAGGTTGAAGAGTATCGAGTAGTGAACATTTCGATAGCTGTGGGATGAAATTCACAATCAAATGGTTTTTCCTGCAAGCAGGAAACGTCACATGTCAGGACTTGAAACGGAATGTGGTTGGTCTACCTCTCCCAACGGGGGAGGGTTGGGTTTGGTGGTGAGTGGATCAATTGTCCGGGGTCAGTGTCGGAGAGTATCGGGTAGTGATTGTTTAGGTGGCTGTGGGATGGAATTTACGATCAAATGTTTTCCCAACCAGTAAGCAGGGAAAAGTCACATGACAGGCTTTGGTAGTTGATGGGAAGAGATAGGGATGGAGGGTCGAGTGTTTCGGGGATTATAGTCTTAAGCCTAGTTATGGTGTAGGTGGCTATAGGTTCGGTTACAGTAGTAAAATATTTCGGTAAGCCAATTAACCTTTAATCTGTCAAGTGGATCCCCCTGACCTTTGGGGGTGGTTTTGGGGGGTTGGAAGGGGTTGTAGGGCTTCGTGCTCATTGAGACTTTTGATCAGCATGACGAGAACTATCAAAATAAGAAGTTTCATAAAAATTGACTGGTGTTCAATTTCCATACGTTTTGTGCAGGGTTCTTTAATGGCTTTCTAATGGACAAATAATTTTTAAGAAATTTAAATATGCGATCAAATTATTTTGACTCCAAAGACAAGTGGGCCCATGAAAAATTGTCTTAAGGGGGTTCCCCATCAAAAAGCGTAGCACCAACAGATTCCACATGTCATAAAACCCCTGTGTACCAAATTTAGTGATTCTCGTACAACAGGGTTCTTAAGAATCTGTGACCTAATTTTGTTGCATTAATTTCGTGACACCCTGTATATATAAATATTGTATAGTGTAAGATTATTCAAGACTTGATGAAAATCAGTGGCCTTGCATGTTAGCTTCTATAGTTAAAGTAATGCAGTAAACCCTATACAAAGTCCTATTTCATGACAAACTGTACATATTATAATGGTTTGAACTATTTATAAGAACTAATTTACTTTTGTTATACACCAACAGGCAGACTCTGAAGTCAAATTTGTAAAATATATTTTGTGGCAACAAATAAAGTGTGCCCTTTGTATTTTTTCATTTGTTAATATTTATTTATTTAATATTTCGTAGAGCATATTAAAAGTACATCAGTGACAAAATTAAGTACATATTTTATTTTTTGTCACTTTCTACAATGAAATTCTGGAAATGCGTTTTGTAATCAGCCTTTATATTATTTTGTTTATGTTAAAGTTATATCTTCGTATTTCCGCTTTGATTAATTAATAGAGCCATGACTTACTACTGCAATTCTATATGACAAAAAAATGTTTAGACTCTAATGGAAATATTTTTATTAACTTGTTATATTGGAAAAATCTCTCCACTACTAATGAGAAACTGTGTGTAGCAATTGGCTTAATATGAATTGTTTTACATAGTGTATGAGGACAAAACAATGTTTTACACTGTGCAGTATTCCAAATCAACAAAAAATATTACTATTAAAATGTCTATTTTTATTAATTAAATTACTATGTCACTAACGATATTATTCTGCCACAATAACTGCAGATTGGGGAATGATTCAGTTTAATTTCGTCACAGGTGCATTTTCAATTTGATATCGGCTAATGTTTTTGTTTCGGATTTCGAGACATTCCACACGTGCATAAAAATCTATAAAAAAATTTATTTAATAAATGCGGTGTTATGTCATAATACAATATAGGTATAATTTAATTTGATCACATTTTAAGTTCTTATTTAGTTCATTATGTTCAATGCTTACTCATATCTGTGATGAAAATGATGAAAATATAAAAAAATGTTTTAAAAAGGAGCAAGTTTTAAAAAGGAGCAAGTTTAGCAAAATGATAAAGTTTACTTAAACTAATGTCCCCAAAAAACCCAGTTATCTGTAATTGACAAAAGCCAAAGAATACTGAAATCCATTTTACTCTTTCACCTTTCCCTTTTTTACCTTTTCACAAAACGCAACAGGTAACTATACCTTTTTTATAGTAGACAAAGTGGGGTTTCATGAAGCACCTTTTGTAAAATTTCTACCAACAAGAAAAGGACTGACAAAAAAATTTATTTTTCAGATATTCTTAGTCTGTGTTCATTTTTAGCTACCCCAAAAACCTTCTATTCTATATAATAAATAAAACAAATAAAATCTTAACAAGTTGTAGTTATCTTTAAAAAAATAAATAAATACAAAATAAATTCTGAGTCTATGATCTGTTTAGGAAACCAAGATTGTACTAATATAGTTCGATTAATCGGTTTATTTTCACTCAGGGAAGCTATTCTTGAAATATGGCTAATTCATTTCCGGACATCCTGTATAACTATAAATTTGTGTCTTATTTGTTATTCGAAAAAACCGTAATCTTCACGAAAAATACTGTTTTTAGAAAAAAAATAATAAATAGTAGGTACTACACACTGCTAGTAGGTACCTATATTAAAAATTAAATAACAGAAAAATGGGTATTTGGCATGCAAGAAAAATTATAAATACTAGAAACCTGTACAGAAGAAAATCCCATTAACAATTCTGCAAGTATCATAGCTTGCCCTGTAGATTCATCCTGCATGAATATAGATCGCATTTCTCCTTTTTCCGTCAAGCAGGTCCGGCAAATTTTATTTATGTCGAAAATATTTGTATCCAATTTAACCTCCATCGTATAACTAAAATCAGAAACGTAAACATAACAAAAGATGCACAAACACGCAAAGGAAATGGCGAAAAAGAGATTCTTCCACTGGTCGATTGTGGAACCGCTTGCTAACTAATCAGCCTTCTGCTTACGCAGGTAAATGGCTGATGCCTTAGGCAGTAATGACTTCTGAAATAAGGCTTATTTTAGCATAACAATATACCTATTGAACGGTAGTGGAGGGATATTATTCAGAGATGGATTGGATAAATAATATAAATTCAAATGTGCAGTGCCATGTACAAAGCAAAAATATTATAGTACTTAGATAACTATATCTTACTTCATTTAATTTAATTGGATTTCTATACAGTTTGTACAGAAACGACAAATAAATATTAACTGGATTTTAAATTAATTTTCTTTATTTCCTTTGACACATCTTTTAACTAAGTACTGGTCCCTAAATCTTTTTGGATTTAAACACGTGCTTGACATGAATTCGCATTATCAACTTTTAACATCGAATATCTCGGAAACTGTCCATTAGCGAACTTTGGGCCCATGAAGACTTTTGTTCCTCATAACAAAAACAACCTATTCCCAAAATTTCATTAAAATTGACCGAACGGATTTTACCATAAGGTTTGTGCGGGGTCCTTTCATTTACGGAACGGCTTGATCATGGAATATTTGAAATATCTCGGATATCGTGAGGTAGATGATTATATAATTTGAGTGACATTTTTGCAGACGATTTGGAGACTTGGGTAGTTCTGCAGTACGGTATGTGTAGTATGATTGAATTTCTTAATTCGTATGGATTCAGATCACCTCTCTTCGGGAATTTTTCTAAATTTGTTTTTATATAATTTAAGATATACAAAGAATAAACAGTTAAAATTCCATTTTGTTTAAAATAAGATCTACAGGAACTCCGCGCCATTATTCTATGGCTAGAAGTTGGCCTCAATGATTTGGGATCGCGCCGCGCGCGCGCGCGCCATTATTCTATGGCTAGAAATTGGCCTCAATGATTTGGGATCGAGGGGGATTATCCCTCTTTATCCTGCCTCATCTCGTGTAGGCCTGNATGAATATGAGGATGTAAATAAAATGTTTGATACCTTTTAAATATATTGTTAGATATCATCAACAAGAATATGCCAATAAAGACAAAAACGAGACATAAAAAAAACTGGGGGAAAAAATGGTTTACTCAGGAACTTAAACTATTAAGAGATAACATATATTTTTTGAGAGAACTAGCAAAAAGTGGAAACATAAATTTAAATACAGAAATAAAAACGGCACGTAAAAAGTATAAAGAAAAGATAAAAGAAGAAAAAGAGAAACATACAAGAAACGTAATACTTTCAGCAGATAATAAAAATAAAAAAATATGGGAAATAATTTCTGACATAAAAACTAAAACTAATAAAAATTCTACACAAATATCGTCCGAACAATTTAATACATATTTTACAAATATTGCGACTAATATTCAAAGCACATTACCAACTAAAACGGACGATCCCATAAAAAATGTTTCTTTGATAGTAAATAATAAAGATAGTATGTTTCTAACTCCAGTAAACGAGAGTGAAGTACTACTAATGCTAAGTAATTTATCAAACAGCACAGCTCAAGATTTGTACGGATTAACTAACAAATTAATAAAAAATATGCGAAATGGAATTGCTAAACCAATAGTCATTATTATAAACAAATGTATGCAACTAGGAAAGTTTCCTGATAAATTGAAAATCTCTAGAGTGACCCCTATTTATAAAAACGGAAATGAAAATGAATGTACTAACTATCGTCCACTATCTATAATTCCGGTCCTAGCAAAACCAATTGAAATGGCCTTTTCTATAAGATTAACAGAATTCTTTAATAGTAACAACCTTTTCACTGAATCACAGTTCGGCTTTAGAAAGAAATTGTCCACTAAACACGCATTAGTTAAATTTATTAATTACCTAGTGGATACATATGAAAGACGAGAATGCACATCTGCGATATTTTGCGATTTATCGAAAGCGTTCGATTGTATCTGTCACACAGTATTAATAAACAAACTTCACATATATGGCATTAGAGGACTTTCGCAAAAATTTATAAAATCATACCTCTCGGGAAGAAAACAAATCGTAGATTATAATGGTGTAAAATCAACATCACTAGAAATTAATTCCGGAATACCACAAGGGTCAATCCTAGGCCCAATCTTATTCATTATATATGTTAATGATCTATTCTCATGCGTCCAAGCAAACGTAATACAAGATGCAGATGATACTACACTATATATCTCAGGTAACGAATGCAATTCCTTAAGTATTTCAAATCTACAAAATAAAAACCTAGCAGAAAATTGGTTTCAAGCGAACAAGCTAGTATTAAATAAAAGTAAAACTCTAACTTTAAATTTTTCACTTAATGACTGCACTAACAATGTAGATTATATAAAATTCTTAGGTGTGTATCTTGATCCTCATCTCTCATTTAAAGTACATATAAAAAAAATCAATACCAAACTTGCAAATATAATCTACTTGTTGAGAAGAATATCAGAAACAGCCCAGACGGATGTCATGAGAATGGCTTATATGAGTTTGTTTCAGAGTCAGGTATTGTACTGCATATTGATATGGGGAAATTCGGTAAACTGGATAAGTGTATTTAAACTACAAAAAATGGCAATAAGAGTAATTGCTAAAATATCGACATTTACATCGTGCAGACAATATTTTAAAGAACTTGGATTATTAACCTTCCCTGCACTGTATATTAGGGAGTGCTTGTTATATATAAAGTCTAACAAGCATAAATTTCAAACACATAAATTATCATTCACATGACACTCGAAACAAAGAAAATCTAATTATACCTCAACATCGTCTACAATTGACACATAATTACTTTATAATACAAGCAGTGAAGATGTATAATATATTACCAGAAAATCTCAAAATAATTCCTCATAGTAAATTCAAATCAAAGATAAACAAAATCTTAATCGAATTATGTCCATACACCTTGCAGGAATATTATGAATACAATTGGAATAATATTAGCTAACCAAAATGCTCGTGATCAGATATAACATATTAAATTGGTTTTAATGTGTTTGTGTTAGTTTTGATAAGATTTTATAGACTGTTAAATTGTATTTTGAAAGTGGTTTTAATTCTTCACTAGGAAATAACAAGTATATTTGTTCATGACTATTTGTATAATTTAGCTAGTAGTAAAAATTTTATTTGACAATGCTTAAGACTTATACTAATGTACCATGGTCTGTTTAGCAAATAAAGCAATATTATTATTATTATTATTATTACTCGCAGTGCGGAAAACCGCCCTTCCCATATTCTAAAAATTTTACAGCGTGGTAAACTCGTTAAAATGAAACGATCCAGACCGTTTTCATGACTTTTGTAATCAGTTCGAAAAAAGGTCGCCGGCTTGGGGACTATATAGAACCGATTTTGATAAAATTTGGTGTGATGATTCTAAATAACAAGAGCTTTTCTTGAGCCAAGTATGGAGGTCTATACCCAATTTAAAGACCCCAAAACAATTCCCTAAAAAGTAATGTTTTTTAACCCCATTTTTGGCGATTTTTTTCGATTTTTTCAATAATAATCATGATTCATTCGATTTGTAACTAGTCATATTTTGTAAAATTTTATTACAAACATTTTTCTCCTCTTCCATTTTCGCTTAAAATCAACTCTTGAAAAGATACATAATTAAATAGAAAGAAAAATATGACAAGTTTGGAATTTTTTAAATATATTGTGCCGCTAAAAGTTAAGGCCACGTTTTTTTTTATGCGTATAGAAAAATTTTCATTTCTACCCAAACCAAAATAGATACAGCCTAGTCTATTATGTTTTTTATACAGGTATTACCTGATACATATTTGTTTATCCGCGATATTATGACGAAACAATAATTATGGTATAAACATATTTTTAAAATGATGAAACCCAGATTATTGCAATAAATCCGATAAAAACAGTATACTGTTCTGGGTAAATTGTTAATCTCACGTTTGTATATAGAGTGTCACACATTTAATTCATTTGAAAGTTCATAAAAATGTAGCAGATATTTGCTGTCTAAAATCATTTAATAGAGGCCGATATAAAATTCCCCATTATATAGGTATCTTTATATCCAGTGTGATTACGTTGAGTATCTTATCAAATTTGAAGAAACTTATTACGAAAAAGGATCAAATATATCTAATAAATATAATAACTACCTAAATATCGTAGCTGTCTCTGTGAAACTGTGCTGGAAATGCTAAATTATGCGTATTTGTGGAAAGAAATCATCAGGTAATGTCACATTGCCGAAGTTGCCTGCTCCGCAGAGACGTTCTGCAATTGTGCCATTTCCAGTACCACATGATGATGGTAGCAATTCTGAGTTACCCATCAACTCCAAGGAAGAGAGGTAATTTATATTAATTTGTAAGAGAATCTTTAAATAACACTGACGATGACGAGTTAGACATAAATATCCTACACCTAATTAAAAATTCTACACACTATATAGATTTAAATTTTAGTTTATTAGTATTTACTTATACTATAATATAATACTTCTTCTTCAATGATATTCCGAACAATTATGTAAATGCTTACTGCCATGTAGTTACTTTGAAATCAAAAAAATATAACTAAATCATATTAAATTATGATCAAAGAAAACCGCAAATATAACTTCTTTCGCGACAAGTTAAATTTTATATACATGTATGTATTGTCCATATTACATGACGTAATATAAAATTTCTGTGATAGCTCACTTATCTACAACATCTATGTTAGGATTAAATGTTTCATTGTTCTTTATTTTTAAACATTTAATTTGATTACTGTGTAAATAGCAAAAAAATCACGTTACTATAACTCACATGTGGTATCGATTTATCCATTGTACTTAAGAGCTCAAAGGCACACCCACTATTATTAATAACAAAATCAATAAAACGATTAATTTTTTATTAATCAACAAAGTATCAATAGATATATCTCAAATATATTCAGTAAATTGTATCTCCAAACTATTATTTTACATATCATAAGATAATTTTGACATATTTTTGTAGTAGCAAATAGTTGAATTAAAGCAGCCAACATATACCAGTTATATAAAATGACTACCTACAGTAATTTGTCAAATAAGCATTGATAATGATGATAATGGTGAAGATGGTGAGAACAATGATGATAGTGATGTTAAATACACTGCCCTGTTGATAACGAATTTGATTGATCGCGAAAACAGGCTAATCTAAGTAAAATAAGTGCAGTATATTTTCCAGGGATTAAAAATTAATATACCAAAATGTAACGTTACAATATTTTCAAGAAAACATAATTTAATTATTTCTATTGTTGCCGTTAATGTCATTTTCGACAATTTATTGTTCTTTGAAACATTTCGCATGATTTTATAACTAATCTCTACAACCTAAATTGAAACAATACCTTTATGGCGCGATTAAAAATGTTTGTATGGTTATTTATCTTATCGTCAAGAAATATATCAGATATTATGTGTTTCTAAAGATAGACTATCCACTTATGTGTTTCAATTAAGCAAGGTGCTAGTTTTATACAGGTGCTTTTCATACTATCCATTATTCTATACCTTTTGACAAAGGCACCATTAAAAATTTGTTAATTAAGTGCGCCGTGGTGTTGTGAAAGTGTAACCATCATTGACAAGTGTTAGTGAATTTTCTAGGAACAGTCGTTCTTAAGTCCTTATCTTATCTGGTCAATATGTCTAAATAACAACTAGATGTGGAATATTACCGTGGACCTTAATAAGTAAATTAATATATCGCACAAGGAGGAACATATTGTCGGAAGTAAAAAATAAAATAAAAATGTTAAGTTGTATTTTCGGTAAATGTTCTAGTGAGACATACGTAGTAAATAAGATATCCAGAACAGGCAGCCAGTCACAGTATTCAAATCCCAAACCATCAGTTATTGGTACACATATCAAACAAAATGAAAATGAATATCCGGCATTTGAAACGAGAGGTAACAATCAAAATCAGCCAACTAATGTTCAAGAACAAATTACACATTCCCAAATAAAACAAAACGGTCAAATAAACTCAAACAAAACAAATAACGCACAGCTTTCGCAGATAGAAGAGAAAAATCACACGCAGGATTCCCAAGTAACACAAAATGCCCAAACTTCAACAGGTACTGAAAAAGCAAACCACACACATGTGTCTCAAACAACACAGAAGGTACAAACAAGTCCTGAAAAAACAATCCACACACCAATAACACAAAATGTCAAAACAAATAACGCACAACTTTCTCAGACAGAAGAGAAAAAACACACGCAGCGGTCCCAAGTAACACAAAATGCCCAAACTGCAACAGGTACTGAGAAAACAAAACCTGAAAAATCAATCCATGCACAAGTAACACAAAATGTCAAAACTTCGACAGTCATCGAAGAAACAAACAATACACAGGTGTCTCAAACAACACAAAATGTCCATATTCCAGCAGCTGTGGAGGAAACAAATAATACTCAAAATATTGGTTCAACTTCCACAGCTGTTGAAATAATAGGACACACACAAGTGTCTCAACCAACTCAAAATGGTCAAGCTGCAGAAAAAATAAATCACATACAGGTGTCTCAAACTAATAAATCCAACGATGAAAGTAAAGGTAAAGAAACACAAGGCAAGAAATCGCAAGCACCACCACCACCTGGACAGAAAGTTGACGGAAATAAAACCTCTAAGCTAAATATTCAAAATGGATCATCGTCAGCAGAGGGTACGGCTGTAGCAAACGATGACACAGAAACCGATATCAATCAAACTGAGAACCAAAATGAAAAACCGAAATCCAAATCGGAAGACAATATAGACGAAGTTGCGTCGCCCACAAAGAGACGTTCTGGATTAGTACCAACACCTGTGAATTATGATGAGGATGCACAGTCGAAGTTGCCAGTTTATCCAAAAACTCAAGAGTAAGTTTTTTTAAATCAAAATATATGGTCAATATTTTAATATTATACTATTTTAGTAATATGTTGTTGGCAGTAATTTATTAACGCATTTTATTAGACAAACAAAAGATTTTTGCATACCTACAGGTTAAAAACTAGTTTTGTAATTTTTAATTAGAAAAGCACTTTATTAATTCCGTTATTAAATCAAAAACTGGTAAAACATATAAAATAGATTTTATACAACCAAAATATGATATACAAGTAGATAATTCCAACAAAAAGAAGCCGATTGAATAGTTCATTATAAATTTGTTTTTACCTTTTCGAAATCAACTGGTTATTATTTTATCATACGAAAGGCATGAATCAAAAGAAAGGCATAATAAAATTTCATTTTACAAATATACTGATATGAGGTTTGATGGACTTAATAACAACATAACAAACAAAGCATGATAAAAAAACTTTTCTGTAACTTTCTTTTACAGTGCTGTAAATTTATAGTGATAAGAAAAATTTCACACGATGTAAGCGCGCTCTTCTATGACATTTTAAGTAGGTAAATCTGACTAATACTTTTTGCAATTATTGATTACATTTAGGTACATACTAAAAAAAAATGTTAAAGTTGAAGGTCTTCGCTTACAGTCTCTGTAACATGTTACAAATAAAATAAGAAGTGGATCTTATTTGTGGAAGGGCGAAATGGGCGTTGACTATTAGACGCCTTCATTATAGCCATCCTTGTCTATCACATGTATTTCTATGGCTTACTTTATCGCTCTCACGTAACTTCTGATAGACCATCAGTACTTTCCTACACTGTACTTACTAGTATTGGAGAATAGTGTAAGTTTCGCATCGCTGTAAAACCCTAATAAATAAATAAAATTTGAAAAAAGTTTGTAATGGAAATTATTCCTCGAAAACCCCTCTATCAAAATGCTCTGATGTAATTTTTTTGTAAAATCAGGAAAAAGTTGTAACGACCAAAAGAAAATTTGTTCCCAAATTTTTATCTATATTTGTAGAGAATTTAATTTGCAACAAAAAATGTATTTACAAATTTTCTGTGCGACGAACAGTTTGCCCGATATAGTAAGTAGTAGTATAAAAACCATTCGCAGCCCTTTTTACAAGATGGCGGCCGAAGCACAAGGGTTGCGACCCCACAATCATGGATTTAACTTTACACTAACCCCCTCTTGACATCCAAAAAATAAAATTGCGTGCTCTGACTTTTGCACGCTAAGCCCAAAAAAATGTATCATTTCAATGGACTAAAGCTGCTGTCAATTAGTTGACATATAATAACTTTATCAAGATTTCACTAATCTCAGATCTCAGTAGTGCCTGCAGCTGTCAAAGATGAATATTTTAAAAATTAAAGTAGAGATAATTTGATAATTTAGTCATCAACTGCGATTTCTTACATTATATTTTCCCAATCTGAATCGTATCGGAAGATTTTGGGCACATTTTATCTAAATCTTAGATTCGTACCGACTGATATATCCACCAACCAGAGACAAATCTCTGATTGATTTTAGAACTTGTCTATAAAAACAGTTATGTCACATGGATTCATAGAATTTTGCATTACTGCTTTCATTTTAGGAAATAGATAAAACATTTACAGTAACAAAGAAGTTCATATACAACTAAAAGCTGACCCAAAATTGACGCAACAAATAATTTTGATAGAATTTGATTTAGCTCAAAATTGTCAATTTTTTATTGTTTCATAAAGTATTTAGTATGGGGTTATGTATGAAATAGCATATCCGGTAAATGGACTCCATTCTTTTGTCGAAATTTTCCATTACCGTTTTGTTAATACAGGCGCTCAACTTCCTCCTTCAAGAAGTGGTCGTGGGTTTGTTGGTATAAACCTTTGACTTCAAAAAAATTCCAAACAAAAAAGTACAACGATGTTAAATCGGATGATCTGGGCGATCAATTCTGATCATCAAAATGGCAAATTATACCATCCGGAAATGACTCATGCAGTAATTGAACAGTTTCTCGCATTATATGGCATATGGCACCGTCTTGTTGAAACTACATGTCGTCTACGTCTATATCTTGCAATTTAGGCACAAAAAACTGGATTATCATGTCGTCATAGTGAGCTCCATTAACTGTTATTGCCTGTTATTGAGTAGCGTTTTTGAAGAAGATTGGACTCGTGAATTTTCTGAACCCCAAATGCGACAATTTTGTCGATTTAAAAAGCCATCAAGATGAAAATGAGCCTCATCGCTAAAGATGACTTTGTTTGAAAAATCAGTATCCACTTATTGTTCCATAATCCATTTAATCTTTTCGTTCTGTGTGGTCAGTAGGTTTCAATTTTTGTCAGTAGGTTTCAATTTTTGAGTTAATTGAACTTTGTAAACACGAAATGTCTTGACTACGGTGCTGAATTGAAGTTCCTTGGGTCTCAGCAACACTCTCACGAACTGCTTCGATGTTTTGTGTTGAACGACTTGAGTGTTTAAGATTACTATTTGAACCAATCTTTCTGAATTTTTCAATTATTAATCTCTTCCCAGCTGATGAAGTTAAATCACTATTCCGACCATATTTTGTACGAAAATTGCGAATTGTAGCTGCCAAACCTTCATTATTTTAAAACCATTGCTCGACAATGAAAACACGTTGTTCTTTCGTATAGTGATCCATTTTTAATAATCCTGAACCGTCTGCTGTCACGCTGTTTTTCTTACGTTGGGTGCAACACTTTACCGCATAATTGGCGCAAAAATTCAAACCTTGCGTGAATTTTGGGACACCCGATATAAACGCTATTTTAAAGATTTAGAGTTAATTTAGTGTTGGTACAATAATTAGGGATATTAATTTAATAAAAGAATATATGTATATAGGATTATATTTATTGCAGATATAATTTAAAGAAGTTTTACGTGAGTGATAATAGCTTATAATTATTTATCCGCTGATTTCATTGTTATAAATACAATAATTTTATAAAGAGATAAGGATTTAAAGCTATATATTACTTTTACATATATATTTCAAGTTTGTGAAATCCCTATGCCATATAATTGGTTGATCCCAAATAAAATACAAACATGAAGGGAGCAGTTCTAGTACTAAAAATACCTTTTCTAAAACTCAATATTAACAGACAATATCAAAGTTAATTTTTTAAACATCATAACATAATTTTTAAAATTCGCATTTCCATAAATTAATTGTGAAAATCGGGAAGACTTTAGTGCTTATATTTAACCATTTTTAAGGATATTCCAAAACTTGGAACTAGGAAAACGTTTCATAAGTATATTTAAAGATATTAAAAGGTTTGATTTTTTGAAAAATTGCAAACAAAAGAGTTCTGACTTTAAAAGTCACTCAAGAATATAGTTTGTCACCATGATTAGCGTACGAAATTTAAGAATTTCAAAAGAAATCACGAAAAGACAAAATTTCTAATTAAAGAAAAATCATTCAGGTTATGTAACTCTGTTACTATCTAGTTTTTGAAAAGGTGTCATAAATAACTAAATGTTGTTGTTGTTCCTATATATTTCTACAACAATATTATTTAAATCGAATCATTGACAGGAAAAGCTAGAACTACATAGTTGTAAATAATTGAATTTTTATTTTTCGTTATTGTAATGAATAAAACTTATGGCAAACATTTTTATGCAATCATTCTGATACTCTAAGGGCTGTCCTCGTTCCTAGTTGTCTTAAATGTCACTTAAGTCTTTATCTGAGTTATAAGTGCCCTTAGCAGAACATAACAAAAAAAGTTACATTTCATCTTATACAGTATATATTTCTTAGCGGGTGAAATATAACTCTATAATTATTTTTCCATCTAGAAATATTTGAATTATTATCTGTTTTAGCACACAATCGTAAATTTATATAAATATTGAACAGATAAAGGTACTTCATTGTTTCCGTGACGTGATTAGGTAATTCTAAGTAAAACTATACAGAAATCTGATATTGATTACCAGCAATTATGATAATATTATAATCAATGGGTACTTTGTTAAAAATAATTTGCTAACCATAAGTAGCAATCGGGTATTAGTAATACGGTGAATGTGTTCAATACAAGTGTAGTAGATATTTACTTGAAAACAACTTCACAGTTTCCGCTGACGTTATTTATAATTTTTTTCCCAATTAATTATGATTAAACCTATAGATTCTTTAAGTGTATTTTATTTAAGTCGTGGAACTGATAACAGATAAGCATCACAGAAATGAATCACTTATGAAAATATAAATTATGTCTAAAAATATAAGTTTGTAAATGACAAATCCCAAAAAATTAATATCTTCAAAAATACGTGCAGGAATATTCATCATCAATAAATCTTCTATCCTTCCTTATTTTAATATTGTATTTATATCTAGAAAAAGAAAGCCGCAGACCAAAGTTTTTGAAATGTTATAGAATCTTTTTTAAACGTATATTGGTCCCATTGCAATCCTTGACTTTATCTATTGTGCTGGATTAGCAAATAAAATAAAATATTGTGCAAATTTTCCATGCAAATATGAGACATATTTATGTCGTCATAATCAGAAAAAAAATAAAGAATTTTAAATAACGACACATTTATAGAGTGCTTCATTTAAAAAAAGGATACGTTTGGTTTTTATTACCAAAATTTTAAGATCATAAGAATGTTTCTTCAAACTTTTGACCCTAGGTTCCATTTTCTTCCGGGCAAAAAGGCAAAAACGATAAGGAGGATATAATTTTATGTGAATTTCTCTAATTACATATGTAATATAACTTGTCTGGTAAAAATCTAATGTCGATAACAAAAACTGTTAAGTAAAAAATTATTAAAATTTTGTACTTATGCACAATTTCTTGTTGTATATATAGGGTATCTTAAATGCGTAAAAATATTTTAGGAAAATATTTTAAAAAGAGAAGTTCTTATGAACCTACTTGTGTTTTATCCGGCTTACTTTTGTAGACTGTGATTTAACTCGCCTTATCTTGATACGGCTGCACACAGGGTTCTCCTATTTTGTAACATCATCTGACCTTCAAAGAACCTTCAAGCGTGGCCTCTAGGTCCTGGTCAAGGTCATCATCGTATGATCTCATCAAACCATAAAACTCTCAGCCAGAATCCGTCGTCGTAAGTGCTTTTCCGAAATATATCGCAAAATCATATTCAGAACTTTATTTGACCGTAAAATAACCCTTTATGGTCACTTTGACCCATAACATAAAGACATATCTGAACGTAGAATGTTCACTCTATTCCTTTCCGGTGTCAGAAATATATCTAGCATATCTAAAAATGTTGACATTCAAATCACCTCTACGGTTGACCTTTGTGTCAAGATCGCCATCGAAACCCTACAACTTTTGTCTAAAAAGTATTTTCTGAAAGTGCCTCTCTAAGAATATATTGCAATGCATTATTTAAAATGAGACACCGTGTATATGTATAGTTTTCATTGGGAAAGTGCTTTTAGAGAATGCCGGTTAAAACTACGAGTATTAGGATAAAACTGGTCAAATACAATACAATCACTGAATTCCAAAAAAATTATTGACCCAAACATTTTTCGTTGTATTTCTTGACGGTATGTTAAAGTGGTTTTGCACCTTCATACATCTGACACTGGGTTGAGCGACGGTATCAAGGTCCGCGATTTTCGCCTGCGATTTTGGGAGGTTAGTCGTCTGCTCGCTTGCGGGATGATCGGACGTATACCCTTTCGCGCCCGCTGCAACGGACCTTGTGTTATATACGTTGTGACTGTCGTCGTTCTTCCTCCATTGATGACAAGTTGTTCTTCGTCCATTGATGACAAGTTGCTTGATGTTGGGATAATAGTCCACGTCATTAATGCTTGTACTTAAAACGCACTTACACAATTCTAAATTCTATTGTTTTTTGCATTTGTGTGTTTATTAGCACTGTCGAGTTAAATACTCTGGTGTCTTTTTATCACTGTCTTTTGGTTCGACTGGTGTACATATTTTTTGTTAATTGTCAGTGTTGCTAGAAACAACTACTCCGAGGGTTGTATGCCCCTACCGGCATTGAATTATACTCGCAACATCTAGTGCAACAGCTAGGACCGTTCGTCAGTTTAATCAACCAGGCACAGACCGGTTTCGGACTTATTAGTCCTCATCAGTGTGTCATAGGTGCGACAACCGACGAACGATTTAGTTGTTGCACTAGGTGTTGCGAGTATAATTCAATGCCGACATTGTCTTCGCCCTCTTTGGGTTTCGCCTGTAATATAGCAGGTCGCTTCCTACTGTAGCCATTTGAATGGCACAGTTGGTTGTCAGCACGACAGATGGAGCCATTTTCGCTCCCGCGTACAATGGTGTACATATTGTTTATGAGTTCTTTTGAGGGTACCTCATTTAGAAGGTTTAAGAGCTTGTAGTTGAGGCTTGAGATCTATTTACAGCGCAAAAGCAAAAATTTAGAAAGTATTAGTGTACTGGCTAGGTATTCGTCCTGGTTAATAAGCTATAGGGTACTTGGGTTGGCGTTCGAACACAGACTGGGTCCGCTTGTGTTCGGGTTAAATGGAAAAATTTAGCCTCCTTGGAAAATGCCCATCTTAGGATTGTGGCCGTCTCTGAAGGGTTATTGATCTGAAATGTTCGACCCTAAGGCTTTGCTTTGGTCCGGATTTCGTAAAATTTGGAATTATTTTATCTTCCAAAAACTATGGAGAAACTTTCATGCCTTTATATGCTGTCGGCATGGCTTACAATCAGCGATCGATAACATGCTCTGTTCGTCAGCGTCATCTACAACTGATAGTGCTTGGCAACAATCGGGGCTTCGTAGGGGATCTTCGGGAAAATTTCGAAAACTGTGTGAAATTTCGTTTTCCCTCTCGCACCTTCCAATGTGCGCCGTAGACGTCTGAGGTTTCTTGTCCATAGTCTCCTACTTTTGGCGCGGTTTTTTGAAGGTTCATTGAATTATTTTGAGAACATGGGTGAAAATCCTTTCTCTTGTCTTCACAATATCAATAGGAGCAATCGAAATTTCAGAATACTCAGTACAGTTTTTGAAGTCCTTAGTCTTACTAGTTAACAATTACTTACATTACTTACATAATTAGCTCCAGCGCCTTCAAAGATATTTTGCAGTATGTTCTATATGAGTAATAAATTATTTTTTAACGTTTATGTTGTATCCATTAAAACGATACAAAAATATATCGGCTTAAAAATTATAGTACCTATATTTCTTGACCAGATTACCTAGTTTTCGAGATATCCTAACCTAAAAGTGACAAAATCGCGATTTTTTTTACATACATGGAAAGGTAAATTTTTTTGCTGAAAGCATTAACCTTAAAGTGCTAAACTTACTCTTAAAAACGCACTTTCGTTTTTGAGAAATAACATGTTGAAATTTAGTAGTTTGACTTATTTCTCGATTTTTGAATATGTCCATTAAATTTCGCTTAAAATATGACTATTTTATTTTTGGCATTATTACAAATTTCTTGAAATGAAAAAAAAAATCATTCATGTTGCAATTACAATTTTTAGTGATGAGGATCTGATACGAGAGGCTATAGAACGAAATGACTTTCTGAACAAGATTATTTCCGGCAAAAGGCTAGACGATGTCATCAACGCAATGTACAATAAAGAAATATCAGCCAAGGACACCGTTATCAAGCAAGGAGAAAAAGGCTCCCACATGTACATTTCCGCAAAAGGCACATACCAAATTCTGATCAAGAATAAAGTGGTTAATGAGTTCAGCGATGTGAGGGTCTTTGGTGAACTGGCTCTGTTGTACAACGCCAAGAGATTGGCGACGATCAAGGCACTCACCCCGGGCAGGGTGTGGGTGTTGGATCGAAATGTATACCAACAGATTACCGTGGGGTACAACATCAAAAAGCAAGACGAGATCATGCAGTTCTTGATGAACAATGAAAGACTGAAGGTGGTCGGAAAGGAAGCCTTGCAGGAAGTTTCTGGTTTACTCAAATCGGAGTTTTTTAAGGCTGGGACTCAAATAGTGAGGCAAGGAGACAAAGGTAATTACAATCTTTAGTAGTTATTACACTTATACCGATTTACTCATTTGCTAGTCGTTACGGATTTCGCTCCAGATTCTTCAGATTTTTCCAATTCAGCGATTTTTAAGACATAGTCCCTGAATTGAACTCCTAAAAATTAATTATCTCAATTTATTGGTCACTGGATTGTGATTTCATGGAGGTTGACCAGCTTATTAGTTCATCATTTCCCCTTTTAAAGAATAGACAGACATTGAAATACATACTCTCCTCAAAGATTCCTTGAAATTAAATCTGGATGATGTGATGATGAACTGATTAAGGTTTTACGAAATCCTTCCCTACACGACCCTAAGCTTTTACTAGTAAATCTAGATATAAATGTGTTTTATGTAAGATATGGGCTACTAAAAACGAAATATTTATACCAAATACCTATTTTTTTAGTGTTTTAGAATTTATAAATTCAGAAGAAATAATTCGAGGATATAGTACTCATATACATTCTTGTTTTTGCTAGGAAGCAATGAGTTTGAATACCACATTTATCAAAAACAAATATACACTTTATTCACCTTTTTCTTTAATGGCGTGTCAAAAAAATAAATCACTCTGAAGGGGAAAACGCAGTACTTTGACACTACATGTAAACAGTCAGTACATAACAATTATTACAATGCAATTGATTAAAATTTCAAAGGCATTATTGGTTATTTTCAACGATCAATAAGAGACTAATAATATAAATAACGTCAAACAAAAGGTAGACCAGGAAATATAGGGGTATGCATGCATAATTCTTCGCATTCGGACAGACTGATTTTTTGTGAGCAAATAGTAAAAATAGTGTAAAATAATATGTACCGTATCCGCACTCTGAAAAAGTTGATCAAACATTAGAAATTTGCGTTTTTCGACTGTAACTTTTTTTCTGACGGTTCTATAGAGAAATGGTCGTCAAAAAATATCAATCCGATCAAAAGTTACTTGCAAAAAACCTCCAATTATGCTATTTTAAATAAACAATAATAAACAGCGATGTTGATTGATATTTTTTGACACTCGACATCGTTGTTTTTTAGATCTTTTAAAGACGAACAAAAAAGTATTTTATTACCATTTCTCTGTAGAACCGTCAGAAAAAAAAAAGTTACAGTGGAAAAACGCGAATTTCTAATGTTTGATCAACTTTTAAACAATGCGACCGCCTTAATAACGCCATTAACAAATTATTTAAATGAAGAATATTTGTTTCCGAAAATTAGAAATATTTATTTCGGTTACTAAGTTTTTTAATAAATACCTTACAGATAACACGGAAACAGAAATTTTTATAAAAATACTGAGCATCGCTGATCTTAATTTCTAACTAGCAACTATTAGAAAAGTTTAGAAGAAAAAACACACTCTTTTCCAATTTGTAAAAGGATATTTGTTCGGTAGTGTAAAGTACATAGGTGATATTAACTTTCCAAGATGTACCAGCGATATTGTTGCAATCTTTCCGAGCTCGTCAAAACAAAAAAAAAGTATCAACGATTTTTCCTAAAAAGATTGCCAAGGGCTTCAACGTAAAACACATTTTGTTGCGATCAGTAATCAATTGATTAAGTAGGTACTACTGGATTCCAATAGTTAAGCAATTGATTACAAACTGTGTGCCATTTTTATATTTAAAGCATCGTAGAAGCTTTATTGGAGATATAGGTAGATTTAAAAAGTACCTACATGCTTTTGTTAAAATCTCCACTAACTTTCATATAGCACAAGTCAAAAAAATAAATGTTCACTTATTAACGTTGAATATTACTGTTAGACGAAGGATTATGGGAAATGTATTTTAAGCAATTTTTTTTTTATTTTAGACTTATTATTATTTCATCTAACTAATAGACAGATTTTAAAAAACCTAAAAGCGTAAGTGGTGAATGAGGATTTTTCATATTAGTGTAATTTGATCCAAATTCGCATCGAAAATTTTCGTTATAATCAAATAAATCTGCATTCTACTCAATCTGAAATTAGCCTGAGTTGACAATTTTTTAAAAACTTCCCTGGAACAAAATTATAAATGGAAGTTAAATTTTCGTTAGAACTCACTAAGTTATTGCCAGTACTAAATATTATATTTATTTGCAATACATATTTTTAGTTTTTCAGTTGTTATACTTATAAAACTTGATTGGTTTACATAAACAAAAATTAGTAAAAGAGGAAAAACATTACAAATCAGATCACAGAACTTTTAAAAATCGCTTAGGGAGATAATATAGATTAGAGACTATTCGCAAAGAAAATGTATAACTAATAAAGTACATAATGCTTTATCTAAAATAAAGGTTGTTTGTGAAACTATATACCATTGCATATTATCATTTTATCGCTGATTAAATACCGATATGAAATGTTGTAGCTGTAGATTCCCTTTATAATTTCGAATAGAAAGAATATATAATATATTGCGCAAAAGAATACAAAAACATTTCAAAACGCTTCTGTCCCCATGTTTTTTATTATATTTTGATATATTAATCGTTTATTTTTAGAAAATCATACCAACAAGAGAAGTCGTTATTTTTACAGAGTTCAGCAAAATGTATAGATCATTTTATTTCATTAATTTAAATCGAATCAACTATTTACGATTTCTTAAATAAAAATATAAAGAAATATCAAAACGTAGCACTGTGTTTTTGTGTTGAGAAATAATATTAAATTAAATTCAACTAGTTACTGATATATATATATATATATATTTAATTACAAAGCCACACAAAAAATATCGACTTTCGGGCCCAGAGGTCATACTATGTTTATTACACATTTTTTGGGTCGCTGAATTCGGGGCCCATTTAGCCCCATCACCTCAGGATTTTTCATATCCTCGAAAAACCGATATTTTGAACAATTAAACCATATAACCTTAAGACTCAAGCTTCCAACGCTTTAACCCAATGATATCCCAACCTAATAAGCCCATGAACTCAAACCCCAATAACCCTATAACCCCATAACCCCATAACCCCATAACCAAGGGAATAAATAATAGGGAATTTGTATTATTGCAAAGCATCACATAGCTGAGGACTTCTGGAAAACCCAAGTACGTACTAAACCAAAAAAAAAATCCCATAACTCTATAACCCCATACTTTCCAATGCACAAGAAAATTAGTGTATATCGGTAGGTATCACTGTTTTTTATTGTTTGACCATAAATTAAAATAGTTTACAATTTACAAATATTTTGTGACATGTACCATAATTTTTTAATAAATTAGTCCCCTAAATGGTGCAACCTATTGAAATAATCAATACTTTTTAATCAAACAGTGAAAAGATACACATACAATAAAGTTCAAGCAAATTGCAAATTCGATTTAAAATTTCTTCCTTTTATCTCAAACAGTTTTTTAAATATCCGAAAAAGAGTATTTTCAGAAGCTTTTACGATGATGTAGAATATTTTTCCCTTATTTTTCGTCGTAGGATGCGCAGGTAAAATATTGTTGTGTAGCATGTAAGAGTAATTTTGAAAATAAGGATTTTTCATATGGACATATTTAGTGTTAATATTCAAATTATATTTTGTCTATTCTTATATTGTTTATGGATTACCATAATTTGTGGTAATATCAAACCCGCGAAACAACTAGTTACTAATGTACTTAATTTAATAAAATAGTGGTACCAGATTTTACGATTTTAAATAAAAATGTTTCATTGTCAAAGTTTAAGAGCAAATACGATTTTTTTTTTATTTGTATTGCAAACACGAAACAATTTTGGTGGAATATGTTTATATCATTTTCACAAAATATCTCATTTCAGGTAACAAATTTTATATAATCAGTGCTGGAACGGTAACAATAACGAAAGATGGAGAGGGAGTAGTTGGGGTGTACAAGAAAGGAGACTGCTTCGGAGAACTGGCTCTGTTGAAGGAGGATTGCAGGCAAGCCACTGTTACTGCGGACGCCCCAGGAGTCGAATGTCTGACCTTGACAAGAAAGCAGTTCGTGGATCACTTCGGCGATATAAAGGAATGGGAATACATCAACGTTCGACCACAAGACTCCTTTAAGGATGGTGTAACGGAACATGAAGACATAGATCTAAGAGATCTTAAGATAATAAAAACACTTGGCGTAGGAGGCTTTGGAAGGGTGGAGTTGGTGCAACATAAGAAGAAGAGCGACTTGGTATTTGCTCTAAAGTACCTAAAGAAGATTGATATCGTTATGCAGCACCAGCAGGAGCACGTGTACAACGAAAAGAATATTCAGATGGCTTGCAAGTCGCCATTTATTGTGAGACTGTACAGGACCTACAAGGATAATAAATATATCTACCTATTGATGGAATCATGTCTAGGTGAGTAAAAAGGATTATTTTTAGTAATGCTGAACAAATCCAAGTTATTACGCGGTTACAGAGAAAGAATCAAATAACTTAAATTGAAAAAGTTCTGCACTACCACTATCCATTTAAAAATATCAACCTTTTTTTGATTTTAGAAAGGTAGAAATTTGTTTTAAATTTCACCACGAAACGTTTGTGTTCATTTCTCCATAGGATTTTTTTATTTTACCATTCAGTTCAAATTCTAAGTTCAACACTAAAACACCTTTTATTAAAATACAAGCTAAAAGCATCGTTCAAGGGCGCTTATTCTTGTTCTACTTTTTTGTAATTTAAGAAGCTGTGTACCTCTTGCGTAGAGATGTACTGAAAAATCAAGCATAAGTAAATATTTTGTTCGTGATGCCGCTTACTTGTGTTTATGAGTCTTGGTGTAGCATCTTCATTTTTTTTTATTCAATCATTCAGAAACGAACAGAATTTTTTTTCAACCATTTCTTCCTCAAAATGATTGTGGGGATATTCCTCACATTGACTTTTTGTTGGAGTTAGATAAATTCGCCCCCTCCCCCCAAATGGTCAGAATTTTTTTTTAATACAAATAAAGCAACAAATAACCAACCATGAAAATAAAACCCAGGAGCTCCATACCCCACAATATTATAAAGCCGTCTACAATTTGCTCTTTGAAGCGACTAAATCAAAGATTAAATAGAATAAATTAATAAAGATTCAAATTTTTAAAAACATCTCACAATCAGTTTTCTTGACTGCATAACTTTTTTTACTGTACAAACGCACCCTTCAAAGTCCATTTCTGGATACGTCCCTGTTTGTACATGCATGACTGTAAAAATAGACAGATAGTATACGATTGAAGCTGAAAATCAGCTGTAACCTCCGAATTCTTTGAAACTGCATGGATTTGCATGAAAATTTAGAATAAGGCTCATCTTAGGCTCAAGTTCAAAAGTGACATAAGCCCGATTGACGCTTTTTGTTTTTTAGGGGTAAAAACTACCCCTAAGTGAAAAAAATTGAAAAAATTAAGTTTTAAGCATTTTATTGATAAAAATCTTGTTCAAGCACAAAGATTAAATAATGTTCCATGTTCTCGAACATGTTTTATGATATATTTGATCTTTTCGACCCTTTATTTAACCCTTAAAAACTACCCCTATGCAAAAAATAATGATAAAAAATTACTTTTTAAAGATTTGGAATGATTAAATCGTGCAATTATTTAAAATAAAAGTTACCTTATAGCTAATAAAAGAATTTTTCCCTTTCAACCCCTAAAAACCACCCCTGTATTGACAAAAATGATAAAAAATTACTTTTTAAAAGCTTGGAATGCTTTAACGGTGCAATTATTTAAAATAAAAATTCCCTCATTGCTTATGAAAGAATTTGTATCTCATAACACTTTTCAACCCTTATAAATCACCCCTGTGCTAAAAAAATGATAAAAAATTACGTTTTAAATCTTGGAATGCTATAATTGTGCAATAATTTAAAATAAAAATTCCCTTATATTGTTTATGAAAGAATATTTTACTTTTGCCATTTTCAACTCTTATAAACTACCCTTTTACCAATATTAATGTAAAATATTTTTATTATAATCGATTTTTAAATATAATCAATCATAAAAAAAATTGCTACGCTGCATATAAATAATCACACTAAATTTTTTTACTTATTTTATTTGTATAATATAATATATAATATATAAAAATGAGAAAGCCTATTTTGCTCCGAAAAAATGTCATTGGTTTTTTTACCATAACTCGGTTAATTTTGAAGCTATAGTATCCTACAAAAAAGCATTTTAAAGATAATTTCAAGAGCTGTAAGATCGTTTGCATATAAAACCTTTTAAGTCTTTCGTTTTTTAAAGGGAAAGGATCGAATGGCTCGAGACAGGTCGTTTTTTCACTAAAATGGATACTTCAAGCGGCTTTATTTTTTATGCTATAGGAATAAAAAAAGCTACATTTTTGTTGTCTATCATTTTTTACGTATCTTTTAGTTTCAGAGTTTTTACCTATATAAATAAGGCAATTTTTTTTTAATAATGAAAAATACGTTTTCAAAAAATACGCATTCTAAACCGGTCTAACTTCAAGATCGTATGAAAAACACTAAAACAAAACTAATTGTAAAGGGTCTACAATTAATTTTAATTCTGATGGAAATGGTACAACGTGGACTGCTCATTTTTCCTTAAAAAAATATGAGCAACCCATCTGTTTTTGACGATAACTCCTTCAATTTTGCTCTAATTAACTTTTATAAGTGCTCATTTTGAAGATCTTTTTGAGTACTACAAAAAACTCCTTGAGCGTTATACACATAAAATTAATCCTTTTTCCGTTATTTGACGTTGAATGCATCGATTCGAGTATTCCCTCCAAAACAAGTCCCCTTCCAGTAACCATAGTTCGTTTTGTATAGGACGTACAACATTTTTAAAAAACGATTTTCTTTGCTTATTTATAAGCTACATTTTTGTTCATTACACTTTTTTAATAAAATGCGTAGTTTTTTAGTTATTCGCGAAAAATACGTTGAAAAAGTGTTTTTTTTTTTCACTCAAAATTCCAAGTTTTCAATCGTGAATAACTAAAAAACTATTGATTTTTCGAAAAAATTCTTCGAATATTTTTTTCTTAAAATTTGATTCTCTAACGATTTGCAGCGAAAAAAATTCCACCCCCGAGAAGGGGTGTCAACCTCCAACAGGGTGGAAGCGTCAATCGGCGCTATGTCACTAATGTTCATTGACCTTTTCTCTATCTGCCAAATTTCAAGTCGATCGGTTCAGTTTCAATGAATTCGGAGGTGAAAAGCTTCAATGACTGTACTAAGATACCAACCTAACCTAATTAAAAAGAAACGTCACTATAATTCTAGTAATGAAAAGAGATGAATGATTTTTCGAAATGTTAACTATAACTGTAGATCCTGGTGTGAGAAGGGAATGAGCTTCAATATGTATATATGTAACTTGTTTAGGAGAGGAAAAATAAATTTGTTGTTATATCACTTGGCTAAGTATAACCATTGTATAAATAAATATGGTAATATAATCCCCATATAAATTTTGTTAACCAGTAAAATGATACGAAAGATAGTGTGGACATCTATCGGCTGTCTCCTTATTAATATTTCTGAAATTTGTGCTAAATAACNAAATTAATCCTTTTTCCGTTATTTGACGTTGAATGCATCGATTCGAGTATTCCCTCCAAAACAAGTCCCCTTCCAGTAACCATAGTTCGTTTTGTATAGGACGTACAACATTTTTAAAAAACGATTTTCTTTGCTTATTTATAAGCTACATTTTTGTTCATTACACTTTTTTAATAAAATGCGTAGTTTTTTAGTTATTCGCGAAAAATACGTTGAAAAATGTTTTTTTTCCACTCAAAATTCCAAGTTTACAATCGTGAATAACTAAAAAACTATTGATTTTTCGAAAAAATTCTTCGAATATTTTTTGCTCAAAATTTGATTCTCTAACGATTTGCAGCGAAAAAATTCCACCCCCGAGAAGGGTTGTCAACCTCCAACAGGGTGGAAGCGTCAATCGGCGCTATCTCACTAATGTTCATTGACCATTTCTCTATCAGCCAAATTTCAAGTCGATCGGTTCAGTTTCAAAGAATTCGGAGGTGAAAAGCTCCAATGACTGTACTAAGATGCCAACCTAACCTAATTAAAAAGAAACGTCACTATAATTCTAGTAATGAAAAAAGGATGAATGATTTTTCGAAATATAACTAAACTATAACTGTAGATCCTAGTGTGAGAAGGGAATGAGCTTCAATATGTATATATGTAACTTGTTTAGGAGAGGAAAAATAAATTTGTTGTTATATCACTTGGCTAAGTATAACTAACATTCGCATATAATTTAAAGTGACAATAATGATATGGTCAAAAAAAATCATTTATTATTTTTTATAGTCTATTATATGGCCATATCCAAATATTTGTGATAACGTATACATAATACCTGTATGAAGTAAATTAAAATTTTTCAAGAAATATAAATTATATAACTAATATATTTACTTAAAATTAAAAAACAAAATACTTTGCGCTGTACCTACAAAAAGGAATAAAAAATGGTATCAACTTTACCTGTCAGTTGCTTATCTATCTTTTAATTTGGGATTAACTAAAAATCACCTCAATTGTCTGGTCACTATTTTCACATACACAAGAATATTAATAATCTTAACATTTGCAGGTGGAGATCTTTGGAGCTTGCTTCAAAAGCAGAAACTGCGACGGTTCGATGAGAAAGAAGCGAGGTTCATAGCTGCTTGTGTATTAGAATCTTTTGATTACCTTCATTCTAGAGGAATAATATACAGAGACCTTAAACCGGAAAACTTACTGATTGCCGCGAATGGTTACATAAAACTGACAGACTTTGGTTTTGCAAAGAAAATTAGTTCCAGAGGAAAGACATTCACTTTTGCTGGAACGCCGGAGTACGTCGCCCCAGAAATAGTATTAAATAGGGGCCACGACAGATCGGTAGACTACTGGGCCTTTGGAGCGTTTATTTTTGAGCTGTTAACTGGGCGGACACCCTTCAGAACTGACGATAGCAGCCACATGAAGACTTACAACAAAATATTGAGTGGCATCGACAACGTGCCGTTTCCAAGTTATGTTAACTTGAAGGCCAGGCATATAGTGGAGAAGTTGTGTCGTCCTGTTCCTTCAGAAAGGTTGGGGATGCAAAAACCAGGGATAAAGTCTATCAAGGATCATAAGTGGTTCCTGGGCTTCGATTGGCTGAAGTTTGCGAAATGTGAAATGCCTTCTCCGTTCAAACCCAAATTGAAAAGCCCGATTGACACACAATATTTCGACCCATTCAAGAAGGATAATGACATCCCTCCAGATGAACTATCTGGATGGGATACCCAGTTTTAATTTTTGTTACTACTATCATAGGATTATATTATTTATTTTTTTAAAACAAGAATATAGCCATGGCGATTACCCTTCAAGTGAATAGAATAATTCTGAATGACCTAAAAATCAGAAAAAAAAATCACAGAAATTAGCTAATAATTGTCAATAAGCTAATACATGTAAATAAAGGTTGAAAACTAAAAAATTAAATATTTGTAAATGAATTACATGCAAGGTTTGTCATAAATGCATCTCATTACTGGTTGATCTCTGAGAGATAGATTGTACCTTGTGAACTCCAATGGGGAATGGGATATACAACGGGTGGGGGATAGAAAGAGCCTGTACTTTTTTTTTCTTCGTAAAACGTGAAGTTTATTTTAATTGATTTTGGTTAAAGCCTAATACAATTTTAATTCTAGAGTAAAGCCTTACACTTTTTTGGGTTTATATATGCCACTATTTACCTCTATACAGGGCGTCCCAAATGTTAACCACGTATTTACTTTATCAAAAGCAATTAGGTAAGTTACCTAATCATCTTTTTCCAAAACTCACATAGTTGTCCGGTATTTATTAAAATGTCAATAAAGAGCTGTCTATGAATTAAAAAAAATGTTTAATACGAATGTTTTGTGGAATGATTTACTATCTCATATTTTTACTAGCCTAAATATTAAATATATACATGCACTAATTTGTTTCCATGTTCATGCTTTTTGTTTATTATTAACTCAACTAAGCTTCTCGAGATATGATTAGGGATTGGGTAGAAAAAATTTAAAATTTAAAAATATTGCTATAACCTAAAAAACCAAAAAGATTTTGAAAAACATTATTAGGCAAATGTTTATTGCTTTTGATGAATTAAATGCGTGGTCAAAGTTTTGCACTTACATTTAGGACACCCTATTTATTCACAGATTTTAGTACATAATGTCAATAAATTTCCGAGACAGTACGCCTACCTAAAAAATCATTGGTAAAGCATGCATGAACAAAAAATTGATTAAAAAATTACTTAGAATGATATTAAGGATATAAAAAATGACCATGTTAAGCTTTGTGATATATCTATACTGTTTTTATTTTATATTACTACCAATTTGAAATTACCTATACCTTCACATTAACAAAAGTTTCCTGCCATAATTTTTTAACTAGTTAGTATTATACATATGTGTATAAGTTTAAAACATTTTTTAGAAGTTTACTCAAAATAAAATCACTATAACCCCACGTGTAAATCTTTGTATGTATAATATTATTTTTAATATTTCAATTCACCAATTATTGATGTTTGCATAAAAATGATGTATAGCGTTTTGTCACTGACTATTATTCTACAGTGAAAGTTAATACGAATTTCTCTAATAAGTCATTATATAAATTTTTATTTCATATTAAAAATTGTTATTCGGAATATACGGCATTGTTATTAACCATGTGATACACAAAATCATTATACAGGGTGATTCCAAAATATGTAGCCAACCTTATAGGTAAGAAACTAGAGGTCAAAATTGGCCGTTTGAACTAATTTACCTTGAAACAAAAAAAAAGGAAAAATACAAATTTCTCCTAAACATCTGAAGATATTTTTTACAAATTTGGCACACGACCAATGCTAATAAATAGCGACATTTTGAAGTGAATATCAATAAAATGCATTGACGGCATGGGGTCATGTAGTCGCTCTTTGTTTCACCATGTATTTTTTATACTCTATATTTTAATGGCTTATGCACTGTGCAGAATCATTTGATAGATAATTTAATTTTAAAAGATTATTTTCCCTTGAAATTTTTTGATACGACTAATATTCAACGAGATAATTCGATACGAGTGTGAATACAGCAACGGTTTTCCAGCAACGGTTTTTCAGATTATGATTTTCGTTCATGTGGCAAAGCCTGTTAAAATTTTCAATGTTTATAGATTCAAGTGACTCGAAAATCGGATTAATATACGGTGTATATATTTCCAGTTCTCATACCTAAGGTGGTTATATATTATTTCATTATGTCTGTTAAATTTTCCTACGTGGATAGCTTAAAATATCCCCTTCTATAAAGTCCTGTATGTTTTTACAAATGCCCGGGCCGTATTTAGGGTGGCAGCACTGGCAGCCCCCTTACGTATAAAAATGCTTATAAAAATTATTTGTTGATGTCTGTTAAATTTGTATACGTGAATCCCTTAAATTATCTCTTCCAACAAAGTCCTGTATGTTTTTATATATACCCGGGCCGTGTTGGGTGGCAGTCAACCTTATGTATAAAAAATGCTTATAAAAATCACGTATAAAAATTTAACAGACATCAACAAATAATTTTTATAAGCATTTTTTAGACATAAGGTTGGCTGCCACCCTTAACACGGCCCGGGTATGTACAAAAACATACAGGACTTTGTTGGAAGGGATAATTTAAGGGATTCACGTATAAAAATTTAACAGACATCAACAAATAATTTTTATAAGCATTTTTTAGACCCTTAATACGGCCCGGGCATTTATAAAAACATACAGGACTTTGTAGAAGGGGATAATTTAAGCTATTCACGTAGAGAAATTTAACAGATCATGAAATAATATATAAATTTAAGATATTCACGTAAGGGCGGCATCCACCCTTAGGTATGAGAACTGGAAATATATACACCGTATATTAATCCGATTTTCGAGTCACTTAAATGTTGAAAATTTTAACAGGCCTTACCACATGAACGAAAATCATAGTCTGAAAAACCGTGTATTCACACCCGTCAATTCGATTGCATGACTATTTTAAAGTAAAAAAAAAATAATGGCAAATAAGGTACTATTAAATACATTAATGCTTGCTATTAGTAATTAATTAAATTAATAATATTAAATGGCAATTTCAACAAAATTTATTACTAAAAGAAATACTAATTACTTAAATATTATTCTCAAAATCCTCCTTCCTGAAGGCAAGTACGAAGTCTTCGTCTAAAATTGTAGTTCACTCGATTCAAAATTTCAATGTTATTGCGAAGTTCATTTCTGCATTTTGTAGACGAACCTCGAGGTTTTCCAATTATGTACTGGTTCAGAATAAACTAGGCCTTTAAGGTGACTCCAAAGGTAAAAATCACACAGATTAAGATCAGGAGAACGCGGTGGCCAAGCAATTGGTACATTTTGGCATAACCTATTATTTTTCTGTGCAACCACTGGCGTACAGTCGAACAGTCAAAAAGTAGTATGCTGGGGCACCATTGTGCATGAACCATATATTTTGCCTTGCCTGCAGTGGAACTTCATCAAGACGGTCGTTTATATTGTTTTCTAAAGAATTGATATAGTTTTCTCCTCCTAGGCGACGCGGCATCCATACATTCAGACTGAATGTGTGCTGCTGGTGCAACTCGCACGTATCGTGACGTGAGGATTTTCACTCCAGAAATGCGTAATGCGTATTTTGGGTATTAAAAGTACCACGTCTTGTAAAAGTTGCTTTGTCAGTAAATATTAAATAATACAAAATTAGAGAAATTAAGATTTCTGTTTAACATTTGCAACATTCTTCTGCAAAAAGTAACTCTTCTAGGAACGTCTTCAGGCAACAACTCTTGTAGGTACTTTTTGAATATGATACTACTTTCACTGTTGCTCTCGTAACACTCGCCACACTATTAAATACAATATTTAAAATCGTTTCTTCAGTACCATTTGCTCGAACATATCGAGCTCGACCAGCATCTGGATTTAAATGAATTATTTTCCCGTAATCGACGTTCAATATTCCTAAAAGTTTGTCTGTGTGGCACACGACGAATTGGAAATTTGTTCACGCGCCGATCAGCAGCCCTCGAATTACTGTGACATTCGTTTAAACTGAACAACATATTAGTCTGTAAAATTAGCCATTTTTTAAATAAATTAAATTAAAACTTTTAAACAATAATGTTATTTTAAGTGAACTAACAAACTTAATTATCAACGCTACTTTCAATATGACATTTCAATATAATGCAGAAGAAAAAAACTTTTTAAAATTACTTATATTATCTTTCCAATGATGCTGCTGTACACAAACCATCAAAATATGGAGTTTAAAAAAATTCAAAGTAAAACCAAGAGCGACTATCCCTACATTACCCCAATGCCGTCAATGCATTTTATTGATAGTCACTTCAAAACAAGGCTATTTATTAGCATTGGTCGTGCGCTAAATTTTAAAAAAATATCTTAAGACATTTAGGAGATATTATTTGTAGTTTTACTTTTTTTGTTTCAACTTTAAGGGGCTCTATAACTCGTTAGGCGTGCATTTTGATGTGTAGGTAAATTTAGTTCTAACAGTCTATTTTAACCTCTAGTTCCTGCCCTATAAGGTTGGCTACATATTTTAGAATCACCCTATATAGCTTAGCTTACAAAATCAGTGACTGATGATGGGCATGTTATTGCACAAAACTTATTCAAGTGACTCCTTTTTGCCTCTCAGTTGCAAAATAAATGGAGAAAGATGGTGGCATCTTCTTTTTATTAATAGAGCAATTGAAATAGCTAAAGCTAAGGCTCTAGCTAAAGTCCCTAGATATTATTAATAAAGTACGGCAATCAACTGCCATCTTGAGTCTTGTAGCAAAATCATATTGCCAAAATTAAAATGTGAGTTTGAATTTTAATAGATTCCTACGCAAATATTTAATTTTCTAATCTAGGGACTTTATTATTGACTTTAAGTTTTCCACGTCACTACTGTGCGCTAAATTCGTTTCACTATATTTCACTTATATTTTTTTTTTAAATTACCAGTTAAATAATAACTTCATACAACATTAACAAAAAATTATTATATATGTTTATGTCACATTATATTATTTTATGGTAATATATTTGTTAATGTGACAAACACGCCATTGAGGCCTTAACTTTTTGGGTATTATACACGCCAGTGAATGTAAATTTACGTTACGCTACTGTGCTGATACCTGCGACATTTTGCCTACGATACTTTTTAACTACTTTATATCCAGTAATTCCAGTATGCCTCAGCTGAGCTGATATGTCACATCAATTCGTTTTGATTGTCAAAAAACAAAAAATCGAATAAATGACGTGATGCCGCTGGCTAGTGTTATGCTAGAGAAGAACGTATAAGTAATTTTATAGTCCAATATATGTGTAATTAAAAATGCCTAGTTCTCTATTATTTGGGATTAATAATGAGGGCCGAGTCCACACATTATCTACCACTGGTTCTATGTGGAGAGAATTGCCTTACGCAGGACAAGAATTTAAAAAATTATCTGCTGTGCCCCATTTTTTATGGGCATTAGGTGGAGATCATCAAATTTACGTCTATGTCCATGGATTAGATATACCTATTCGGGTCAGAGAAGAAGCTTATGAAAATGAGGTAAATTTAAATGTTACTCACTTGTGTTACTGCCTGTATTTAATGAAATACATTTTTTTCTCTTAAAACGTTTAATTTTCAATCCTCAATTTTTTTTGATAAATATTGTGGATTAAAATATAACTAGCTTTATGAATAATTTAGAGTAATTTAAAATCATACAGTTTTAATTCATTACAAAGGGGATAATTGAATTATCACAAATAAAATGTAAATTTTTAGTATGAAAATATTAATTTAAATAAAATTAGAAAATAGGTCAATGTACATGTCAGTAAAATTAAAATCTGACGAGGTAAGATAAAATAAAAAAATAATAGTATCTCAAAGTGTTTTCTTTTAGCGGTGGCTACCAATTGAAGGTTTCTCTTCACGATTATTACCCACTGATCGATTTCACTTCTCCAGTGCAGATGGAACGGTTGATCGTTCCATTGATAAAATTAGACTACCCTCAATGGCTTGGCAATGGGAGGGTGACTGGCAAATGGAGTTAACTATGGATGGTCAGCCCTTAGATCACAATGGCTGGACCTATGCAGTAGACTTTCCAGCAACTTTTTACCCTAAGAAACAATGGAAGAGTTGCGTACGCAGAAGGCTTTGGGTCAGATCGAGAAGATATAGTGCAATGAATTCGTGGTGTGCTATAGCACCACTACATAAAGATGCAACTAATGTAAAAATCATTAACAAAACCACGAAATTTTATTCTGACATGTTGGAGTTTCAGGAACCGTTTATAGATATTGCAATAGGAGGACAACAAATTACTGGAGCTAATCCGGGTACTATGTTAGTGTGGGCTATAACGTCTCATAATCGGGTAAACAATTCAAAAATTATTCTTAATTAATTTATTTGATAAAGTAACATAAAAACAAAATTTGACTTCATTTGTGAAAAGCTTGCAGAAGATAGGTATTCACACCTCCATTTGAATTAAGATTTAATTAAATATGTTTAATTTGTTCCTAGGTTATGTTTAGAACAGGAGTAAGCACAAAGTCTCCCGAAGGAGCCCGATGGAACCATGTTCAAGTCCCAAACGGATGTGAGGTTTGTCAAATTAGTGTAGGTCCTACTGGTTTGGTGTGGGCAGCGTTAATTGATGGACGAGCTCTTGTAAGAATTGGTTTAACTCGTGATAATTTACAAGGCGAGTCTTGGGTAGAAGTACAAAGTCCTAGCGATAATTTAAGAATTTGCCAGGTTTCAGTAGGAACATGTGCAGTGTGGGCCGTAACCCAGGATAAACAAGTCTGGTTTAGGTAAGGCAGTTCACATTCGTCATTTATAGAGTGATCCAATGTCTTGGGAAATGCATTCTTCTTGAAAGAAAAACTGCAAATAATTAAACTCTGAAAGTGATACTTTGTCAGTGACTGTCATACAAATATAGAATAAAAAAATTGTTAATTATTATTGCCTGGTTGCACACTGATAATTTTTTATTTTTTTTTTTCTCAGAAACGAGCCTTGTTTTGATGCTACTAGATGCTGTTCTGGCTAGCATTTTCTTCATATATTTAATTATTTTGAACATTATCTTTCCTGAAATTCCCTGTAATACAAAAAATGAATGGAGTTAGAGAAATATATATTCACACTTTTGTTTTGACAATTCACAGGATGGATGTCCCCCTCTCAGTACAATCAAACCAGAAATAATTTTTACTTGCCTCGAAAAAATTTACTATGAACCCTAACAACTAAATGTGCAGGTGGCACATTATTTGTTAAAAAATGTGATACAATATTTGAATAAAATTTCATTCTTCACTTGTACAAGAACCTTTGGAATTAGCTTTCAACATTATTAATTATTGCTGCTAAAGGTATAGTCTTTCCGAAGTCAGTTGAACTTGTAAAAAAACGCATGGCAATAAAATGAGTTTCATAGGCATCCCTAAAAAAGTTTTCTAATAAAGGTAAAAAATCATAATAATTTGTATATAATGTGCGGAAAATTTCTATTATATGTTCATTTGGCCAACAATATATTTTATTTATTTATGTCCTCAAACAATTTTATTATATTGATGGTAAATTTCGTTTTGTTCCGTTTCAAAAGGTCTCCAAAAGGCCATGTAATATTATTATTTCTCCCTTTCGCAATTGTAATATCAATGATTAATAAAAGGTGCCTATAATAAATTAAAATGACCTAAATCACACCAAATTCCGCATTGCTACACTGCACTGCTGGACAATTTATCAACCACTTTTCAGCCGCTGAGATTTATTGCCTAGTGGCCCAATGCAACTGCATTTGTATTTCGTTTGCCCACGCTCGCATTCTTCAACTGGGCGTATACATTTCTACCACCTTCACGTTTAGTTCGACCAGATCTGTATATGGGTATGGCTAAATAAATATGGGAACAAGTTTTCAAATATTTCAATGCCGAGTTGCTGCGTCAGCGACCGAACCTGTACAACATACTGTTATCCTCTTGGTTCTTCAATTTATATTGGAAAGACTAACTTTACCTTGGAAAAATTGTAGCTAGAGTTGTGTTTTCATTGACGACAATATTCCCTCAAGTAGTTAATATCTGTTTCTTGGTTCTACACCATGGTAATTTCTCTCCCAGTAGGCTTTCTTTGGTACCTGCACGTTAATGAGGTTTTTATGTCCGTTTTAGCACTTTTTCCATCACGACTCTTTCCATGAATCAGTTTCTCATTATGTTTTAATTGTATCTCCAACTGTGGATTTTTATGTACAGGTATTCACTTTGCCAACAATTTTTTCACCGATTTCCTTGGCTCATATTGTTAAATTATTATTTTACATAGATTTTGGGGGTCATAGTTTTGTACAATATTGTTGTGAAAACGTCACAAACATTGACAGACACACGAATTGTAACAATGGGCTTTTTTATATTCAGCAAATTAAACAAAATATTACTGTGAAATGTTTACACATCAGAACCAATTTAATTATTTGTAAAATAATTAACGAAATGTTATCTAAAATGGTTTTAAAAAAGAAGGCACTAATGTAGAATACGTTTATTATGAGGTTGTTTGACATTATTAACTCTTATTCCTAATAGCTGTTTTACATTGACAATTTATTCATCAAATTGACGAAGTTCTTCATGAATTAATTCACGAATTTATTGGTAAACAGTGTGGTTTTACACTGCTACAGACTTTGTCAAGTTTTTTGACATATGAATCAGTTCTACCAATGAATTAAAGAAGCAAATAAATTTCAAAAATGTCACCTTTCCACTCATAATTGGAGTGATACAACAGCGGTACCGTTCTGACACATATTATATAAATATTAGTTTTTGTAAATAACAAATCAGTAAAAATAATGCAAAACTAGCACGACGCCACACAATTATTTACATATTCTAATAACATAACCTCATTACTGATCTGAGGCTGGAAATCTGTTGGGTTGGTACTTCCGATCTTCACGAAAAAATTGACAAAAATTAGAACATGCTCTAATTTGTCAAGAACTTGATGAATAAATTGATGACGTTATTTGACAGCAGATTTGGTGCATTACACTTGTCCAATTTCTTGATGAAGCGACTTCATCAGTTAATTGATCAATAAATTATCATTGTAAAACAGCTTTAAAATTATCGATTGTCCTAATATTTAGTTGTTAAGAGTAGGACTCATAATTTACTGGTTATATTTCACATTTAATGTGTTAAATATTATATGGCAAAAAAGAATAAAATACAACACACAATGCAGTTAAACAACTGTCATTGTCCAAATAATAAACTTGCATTCAGTATACAGGGTGTCTCGAAATTAATGCAACAAAATTTGGTCACACATTCCTAAAACCAATTTAGGGAACCCTTATTTTTTATTATTGCCAAGTGGCCTCTGTTGTACGAGAATCACTAAATTTTGTAGACAGGGGTGTTATAACATGTGGAATCTGATGGTGCTCCTTGTCTTTGGAGCCAAAAAAAATGTGGTAGCATATTTAAATTTCTTAAAAATTATTAGTCCGCTAGAGGCCATTAAATTTAGAAACTTTTTTGTCACCTGATACTTTTTTCGTAAAATGCAATGTTTTTGAGAAAAATGTCAAAATGTGATCCAATGCATATCATGATTTGCCATTTTCCTCAAAAACATGGCGTTTTACGAAAAAAATATCAAGCGACAAAATAGTTTCTAAATTCATTGGCTTTCTAGCTAATTAATAATTTTTAAGAAATTCAAATTTGCGACCCATGAAAAAGTGTCTTAAGGGTGTTCCCCGCCAAAAAGCGTAGCACTAGCAGATTTCACACGTCATAAAAACCCTGTGTACCAAATTTAGTGATTCTTGTACAACAGTGTTGTGAGAAAGAGGAGGCCATTTGGCAAAAAGAATAAATACGGGTCCCCTAGATTTGTCTTAACCCTTTCACTGCTCCAGACGTATATATTCGCTAAAAATTTATAGGGCTCAAACTGCTCCAGACGGATAAATTCGCATGAATAGTTAAATTGGATCAGGCTGCTCAAACCGTATATATTCGCAACCGTGCGCATAGTGACTCGGTTATTGCAATTGGTAAGGCGAATTTTTGCGGGCGAGCTTATACCGATTGTGACAAATATTTTTATGGAAAGAGGTACTGGTAATAATACCAAGATTGTTCATGTTTCTTTCAGTTTCTATTTAGTACATATACTGTATTTTATTCAAAATAAAATCGTAAAATTTATCGTAAATCGTAATTTAACACAACATAATGTAAAACTATAAGTGGTCTAACTGCTCTAGACGTATATATTCGCACGCGATAAACTTTCGCGCACGGGGCTGTAGCTACGTTCAGACGTATTGCGCAGCGAAAGGGTTAAGAATCCTTGACCAAATTTTGTTGCATTAATTTCGAAACACCCTGTATTACATGATAAAACTATTATATAGGGTCAGCTTGCTCGCTTACTTATTAATGTGAGCATGTTAAACTTTATAATGACGATATATTGTACAATATTTCATGTTATCATGAAGCTCTTTTTATTCAAAAGAGGAAGAGAAAGAATAAACTTTAAATGTAGTTAATTCTGGTCACGATTATTAGTTAAGTGAAAGCAATTGTATTTTCATAGGGACGGGTAACGTCTTCTTAATGATGGTGATAGGTATTATCATTGGTTTTATGAGCTACGTTATCAGATAAGTCAAAGTAAACACTGATGCTTGCCTACAAATTTTTACGTCTGTAGGCTGTCAGGATTCAGAGGGCATATGTATTAGATTTATTACTTTATATCCATTTTATGTTTCATTATATTTTATTACTATTATAACAGTTTAAACAACAACTCTTGAGCACCATTTCTTAAATGCGTAAAATTATGCAAATCAATAATCCTCTTATATCTTATGGTAATCTGTGCCAGTAAAAAATTTTACTTCATTATGAACATTTTTATCAAAATTACTGTTAAACACTATTTAAGGTTCAGAATAATATAAAAATTGTTTCTGTTACGAGATTACTGAGAAGAGATGAAATTTTCTTAAAAAAACTCGAACAGGTGAACATAATGAGATAATTGAAAAAAGAAAATGTTGGGAATGTTTACACTTTTTAATGAAGTTTATTTAGTAGTCAGTACCACAGAGCCATTCTAAATGGTGTTGAGAAAAAAAATTTGTTTCACTTATACAGGGTGTTTCAGAGAGAGCTCCCATAAATACAGGGGGTGATGGTACGACAAAAAATAAGAATTTTTTTTCTTATGAACTATATGTCTATATCCTCTTATTTTCGAAATACAGAGCAACAAAATAAAATTTTTTAAATAGAATTTTTACGAAAATTTCCAAACGATGCGAAATATTTTTATGAAATTTGGTATTCCTGGTTTTTTAAGGACGCCTAATGTGGACGGTTTTTGAGAAAAAAGGCTTTTAATTGAACTATTACAATATTACAGTGTATAAAATAAGTGACTTTTCTCAAAGTAGGTTAATTTCAAAACTTATTGATGGATATCTCATAAACAACGTATACATTCTTAGTAATATTTTAAACTCTAATTAACTTTATATCAAAATTTTAGTGACTAATTAGTCATTACTAACTACCATCACTAACAATCACTGTTATATACCGTAATATTGTAATAATTCAATTAAAAGCCTTTTTTCTCGAAAACCGTCCAAATTAGGAAGTTCTAACAAGAGTACATTATTTTTAGAAAATAAAATTGTAAAGTAGAAATTGGAGCCCGAATGGTAAAAAACCTAACCTTAAAAAATTAGAACTTAAAATGTAATAGGAATGTAGCATAAATAGCGCCCTCTATGAAATATACTATAATAATTAGTCCAGCGTTATTGGCGTCCTTAAAAACCCCGGAATACCAAACTTCATAAAAATATTTCCCATCGTTTCGAAATTTTCGTAAATATTCTATTTAAAAAATTTTATTTTGTCGCTCTGTATTTTGAAAATAAGAGGATATAGACATATAGTCTATAAGAGAAAAAAATTTTTATTTTTTGTCGTACTATCACTCCTTGTATTTACGGAAGGTCTTTCTGAAAAACCCTGTATAAGTGAAACATAAGCATAACTAGCGCCCTCTACGAAGTATCCAATAAATAATTAGACCAGCGAATTTGGTATCCTTAAAAACCCCAGAATACCAAATTTCATAAAAATATTTCGCACCGTTTGGAAACTATTGTAAAAATTATATTTAAAAAATCTTATGTTGTCGCTCTGTATCTCGAAAACAAGAGGAGATAGACATATAGTTCATAAGAGAAAAAAAATTCTTATTTTTTGTCGTACTATCATCCCCTGTATTTACGGGAGGTCTTTCTGAAAGACCCTGTATACTACAAGTTTTTTTTTTACAAAACCCAGAACGTGTATGTAGTTATTACAACTTGCAAAAAAATCATCAACTTACTTTAAATTATCTTATTTTCGTTGTTTACAAAGTTAATTATGACTACATTATTTTTTATTAACATACAATTTTTTATTTTTCAGAATTTCTTTGTTCTCTAAAAAATTAAAAACAATTTGTTTTTAGGAAAGGGGTCAAGGGTGAAGGAGCAGGTATGAGTGAAGAACTGGCAACGGGTTGTGGATGGGTGGAGATGGTTGGCCGCATGGCTGAGGTTTCTGTAGCTGCCAACGATCAGGTTCTCGCAGTGGGCGTGGATGACCGTTTGGTATACATTAGATGTGGCGTATGTATGGAGGATTTAACTGGCAAACGGTGGCGCGCCCTCCGAGCTCCGTTGCAAGTCAGTAGGGCCAGTAGTAACGCTAGTCTTAATAGAGATAAGTTTCATCGCAGCTTTAACAGCCTGGTAATTAACCATTAACTTTGCTAATTTGTTGTGCTTTTGATTTTGTGCCGCTTACTTACTGCATTATATTTGCTTGCAAAGGTAATACTGTTTAAAAGACTATGCTATAACAGTATTGAATTAAAATACTTAAAAATTATCGCTCTGATTAAATATTATAAAAATCTACTGACTATTACGAATATGCAGGGTGTCCGGAAATTTGTGAGCAAAAAATTTAATAGGTGATTCTACCCAATATTAATCCTTTCACTGCTCCAGACAGATTTATTTATTCGCTAAAAATTTATAGGACAAACTGTTCCAGATGAATTAATTCGCTTGAATAATTAAATTGGATTAGGCTGCTCAAACCGTATATATTCGCAACCATGCTCATAAGTGACTCGGTTGTTGCAATTGGTATAGGGAATTTTTACGGGCGGAGCTCATAGCGATTGTGGCAATTTTTTTATGGAAGGAGGAACTGGCAATATTGCCAAGATTGTTCATCTCTTTTTCAGTTTCTATTTAGTACGGCTGTCGATATATTGTATTTTATTTAAAATAAAACCGACAAAATATCTAGAAAATTGACAGACAAAGAACTGGAAGAAATTTTAGCGAGGGGCGATAGCGGCGACGAGTTTGAGATTGAGGAGCGTAGTAATGGATGCTTTATAATAAAATATTAATAACTAAACTCTTACAATTATTTTGAAACCTTTAAATATATTTTAATTTAATTTAACAAAACATAATGTAAAAATATAAGTAGTCTAACCACTCCAGATTAGTATACTCGCACACGGTAAACTTTCGCGTATGGCGCAGTAGCTACGTTCAGACGTATTGCACAGCGAAAGGGTTAATGGAGTTACATAGTTATTAGTGTCATGCCATAACTTTTCTTTTTTTTTATTGGTACATACAGGGCTAATGACTAGACAACAACAACCTTATTTTGAAATTTTATAATGATCTTTAGCTGTTTAATTTTATAAAAAACTGTAAATAAAAAAGTTGTGGTCAATTTGCTAATCAATAAGGTCCAATTTAAGCTTTTTATGTCTCGGTTTTCATTTTATTTTCATAGATGCAGTTTGTAAGTGCACCAATGTTGGATGAAAATCAGCTAACTGAAAAAGTTATTGCAAAACATTAATTTAATTTATGTAACTCTATACTGAATTTTGAAAAAGATCTCATAGATATGAAAGGAGTAGAATTACATATAATTTCTGTTAGGTCCCATTTTTGTTAATGTTGAATTATATGTATGAACATAAATACCAATGGATTTTTGGATAATTATTCTTTTTTATGAGAAAAATTTTATTTTATGGAATTGGAATGTGAATTTATTATAATTGGCCATTTACATGTTTACATAAAGGTAAATTGTTTTCAGAGATGTGTAAGTATGATTTTTTAAATTTTTTATGAAAAAAGTTTTGTCGGTCTTCTTTGCTTGAATGTTACTAATTATTTTGATGCTTTCTATAACAAGTATTAAGACCATTTTAGATAAAATCATTAATATAATTATCCCTTTTTAACAGCTTATATATCTCCTAATTTGTCTATTATTTATTACTACTGATCGCTTTCGTTTTGATGATAATTTTATCAGCATTAGTTTAAGTATGCTTGTTTGTTAATCTTGTATATTTTGTAATAAATTTTTCAAGACAGTTGGAACTGTGGATTACATATAGATCAGTTTTAACAGAGTAACAAATATACGTAAATACCACAAATTTAAGCAGCTTTCAAAACAAAATTAGATAAAAAACAGATGAAAATTATAAAATGCATTGAAAAATGTGTTACACAAGGAATAATTAAAGCACAGAAATATTTCAGAGATGGACCATGTTAAGAAGAAAAGTTCGTATGAACTTATGCCCTAAAATAGCTTAGTTTTTTAGGAACAGGGTGTAATTTTTTTAAATATTACATGCAGGTATCTTTGAACATGTTAGGTATAGTATAATAAAAGAGGTTCTAAGTCTTGTTGTCTCTGCCACTAGTTGATATAATTATAATTATATACAGTGTGTATAGTATAGTACATGTTCCCTAGAGTACTAACCTGAATTAAATTATTTTTAATTCAAACGGTCCACCTGCCATCTAATATCTACGACTAGTCTATTTTACAACTACTTACAACTATGAACGGGGAATTGCGACGAGCACATTGCAGTATGTATCCACTTATTACTGTTATTGTTAACTGTTCTTACCTTTTTAAACCAATTGCATAAAAGTAACAAAGTGGCAAAGTGCAAGTGTAATCGAAAGAATTTTTTTGAAACCATATTCCTTTTGTATGACTGTGGCATGTTATTTAAAGTCACCATATTTTTTTGATGTTTATGTAGACAAAGTACAAAATTTAAAAAAAAATCAAGTGTTTATAACAAATTTATATTTTGGCATGATTGGCATGATAGGTTACTAATCGTAAGTAAAACTAATTTATATTTTAAAATAATTATATTTGCTGTTTTATAAAATAAAATACTTACTAATCTGATAAATTTAATACACCAAATAAAATATTTTCTCATTTTTAATAAAAAGTTTTTATTACTATTTTTTTGAGGGACTGTGTTTAGTTTGTGAGTTTCATTGTCATTGAGCTCTGATATTGACTTGGTTTAGGTGAACTACATCGAATCAACTCATCTGATGTGATATGACAACAGGTTGCTGGGTGGACGAAACATAATGAGAATCGCGGAATTTTAATCCATTTATTTTAGTTTCCAGTTTATCGATTTACGAGGTGTTTGTAATACTGTGTATTCACGACTTTCTGTGTGGTGTTATGAAAAAACATGTATACTAAACTGGAAAGGTGAAATTGACAGCAGTGCCTACCTTAGCTCCAGCTGATGGCTTAAATTGCTTAACGTTACACTAGCCTGTATGGCGATGCAGTGTGTAAATTATGAAAACCAAGTTAAATATAAATTCAGTTTTTACTACGGAATTTGAGAAAACAAACTTATGATATATGTTTCTAAAGGTCAACCCCTAGATTAAAGAAGGTCAACCGTAGCTTCCTTATAAATATGACTCCCATTCAAAGTTACACACTGTAGATAATAGTAGGTTTTTACCGTTAATTAGTTAAGTCACCCAGGTTTCAGAAATCAAATATTTTCAAAGATATTTGCTTAAATATATTTTTTAAAAACAATAACACCCTGTATCTTTATCTGTTTAGGACATATTTTCCGGGAAATCACCAGAAGTATTTTTACGCACTTACGTTACAACAGTGTTATAACAATTCCTCTCATTGAAACAAAAAAAAAATAAAGTAACACTTTTTCCTAATACAATTTCTAAGGGCTCCGTGATCTTTCAAAGACTGCACACAAAACAGTTTTTAACCAATTATTCGAGAACCAGAACTTTGTACAATTCAGTTTCCTCATGGTAGTTACGGTAGTTACTACTCGTATATAACTTATATAGAAAAGGAGGCGGGTAAAGATCATAGTCATGAAAATTAAGTTTCCATTAAAGCCATTTTATTATACAGGGTGATTCACAACTTATCCAAAAAAAATTGGGAATATGTGTGACATGAGAAATTAAGTCAATATCATAAAACAAATTTTTGTAAAATCCTTATAGTTTCAGAGAAAAAAATTATTGAAGTTCTAGTATATACAACCACTGCATAGCTGGACAACTGTACTCTCTAGCGTCATTCGCAATACGTGTGGAGAGGCAGGTTGCCTCAGTGACTCCGAATACTGAAATCTGATTTTGCAATTGTCATTGCGATAGTGTTTACTTGTTATCTGAGGTGTTTACAATAGTTTTTTAATAGTTAGTGTCAAAAATGGGTTGAGTTATAGCAACTCGGAGTTGATGGATATTGTTTTAATTTATGGTGAAGCATTTGTGTTATAGTGAAACAAGGCAGCATTTGTGTTAGTTCGTGAGATCTGAGTAAGACGGACCCAAATGTGTTTACACGTTGGTGGATAAAATTTTGAACAATTGTTGTAACATTGGGTATGTCAAATGATTTTATTTTTTAAAACACAAATTAATTTAATAAATTAATAATAACAATAAAGGCAAAATCGATTGAATTTGCCGATATAAAATAGGTGCTATAAAATTCTATTTATTTCTTTCTTTGCGAAAGTTTTTTTGTCCGTTTTTATCACACAGTCATGCCGGTCACATTGCGGTTTTACAGTGGACCAATTTCCAGTGCCGTGCAGAAGTGTATTTTTAAATCATTTTCGATCTGCCCTTTTGATTTTTTCCCTTTACCCTTACAAATACAATTTTCTTTACAAAATTGTATTTGTAAGGGTCCCCTGTACATCCAGAATTTTTTTTTTTGGATAAGTTCTGAATCACTGTATACATATATTCAGTTCAGGTATTGACTTTTACATTTCCCTTAAACTGATAAGATAAGAAAAATAACGTCATATAAAAAGACCATCAAACTTGGCATATTTGTTTAATTTTTACTATTTTAGACGTTTTTTTCGATTTTTCATTTAAAATAAAAAATCTGTTAGACGCTTTGTGCATCACAATATTCTGTGGTCTTTCAAATATTATAATTAATAAGGTTATAAACCAGCATTCATTTTTTTGGTGAGTTCAGTGCATCTATGTGGTACGAAACAAAATAGCTTGTCCGCAAGTCTGTCAGACTAATACTTCTTAATTGTATTTCAAATATTTCTTTTTATTTGTGACCATTCCATTACGTTCCATTTTATGTATTTCCTGTATTTTATCGAAAAATAATGCAACAATGTTGAGGACGACAATATAATTGCCCAACAGATTTAGTGAAGAAACCTAACTACTTACAGCAAACGGTTGAATAAAATGGCTGGACAAAAAAAAGCATGATATGGACTTCGTTAAGTGACTCTGATCTTCCAGATTTCCCACAATTAGCATGGGAGGAGCTACGACATTTCTCTCTTGGGATATTTCGACTTAAGCAAAGCCGATTTTGCACT